GGTGGCCCTGTCACAGGGGGTGCAGGGCAGCAGAGGAACAGAGGGGACAATGGGACAATGAGCCTGAGCCTCTGTCCCCTGCACAGGCCTGGCACCCCTGGGATGTAACTGGCAAGATGCCCCCTCTCCATCCCCGGCGGCCCTGGCCCCTGGTGGTCATGCAGTATGGCCAAGGGCTGTTTCACTCCTGTCGCACTTCGGGCTGTGTCCCCCATCTTGTTCCGGGTCCTTGGTCTGGCGTCACCTGCTGGGCCCTCTTCCCTCTCAGCAGCTGGCCCCTGGTGGCTCCATCTCACGCCAGCAGTGGCTATGCCAGGGCCGGTTCTCTCCCCACTGCCGCTGCTGGCTGACCCCATTGGTGAGGCTGGTGACTGGAAGGGACCACAGTGGGACACTGAGGCAGGAAGCCTGTCTTGTTCGCTGCGTCCTTCACTAGCCTTTACCGAAGACTAAGGGTTACTGACTCCGGGAGAAGCTCTCTGTATGTATTGTACATCCCATATAAACTGGAAAAGGGGGCCCAGAGAAGTTGGGGGACTTGCCCAAAAACACGAAGCTAGCAAGCGGCAGGACAAGGACCTGAATCTGTCCCATGTCTGGGTGTACGCAGCTGTGCAGTCTCCTGGGCTCAGTCCCTCGCCCCTCACCCAGACCCCAGGGCTCTCCTACCCCCTCTGCCAACCAGGTCCCCTTGGGGGCTCCCAGCGTAGCCCTTCACAGATCAGCAGGCATGCTCCTCAGAAGGTGGATGCCCGAAGGCACCTTAAACACTGCTCAGTCTGTTTCTCTTTTTACAGAGCAGGAATCTCAGGCCTGAGGACCAGGCCCAGGCCCAGGTCACAGAGTAAGGCTGGCAGTGCAGGGTGAAGTTAGGGTGAGGTCTGGGGACACAGCTTAGTGGCAGAGCACGTGAAGCCCTGGGATCAAGCCCAGCACCCCCACCTCAAAGAAAATAAAGGAAAAACGGGTTGGGTGACCTCTCCTGTGGCCGCCCCAGCGGCACCACTCCACTTCTGAACAGCTGGGTTCCTCCCATGTTCCTTCCCCTGCCCAGCACCCACCTGTAGGTGAGCTGCACAGGGCTGACTCCTACACTGCCCTCTGGTCACCGGCTGACTGCCATGTGGCTCAGCAGCCAGGCCCAGGTGAGGGTCCTGCAATTCAACTTGGCCCCCTCCTTCCTGGGACCCAGGTGCCTCCCTGGGCCTGTGCCCACCTTCCAGGAGATGGGTCCTCTCCTTCCAGAATGTCTCCGTGTTCCTTGGCCCGACTGTTCTGTCTCATTGCCTCTGGGTTTCTGCGTCTATGTTAGGTGCCCCATCCAGCCTGCCCCAGAGTGAAGGGAAGCTTTCTGGACCTTCTCCTCCTCCTTCAGAAGTCACCTTGGCCCCAAGCTCCGTCAGGGGCAGCCACCCTCCTGTCATCCCCTGCTGCCCCCAGGCTGTTAGCAGGAGGTCTCCCTGGATGAACTGAGCACAGCAGAGCCCAAGGGGAAACTGAGCACTTGTCCTTCCCACTAGACCCTTGCCTTTCCCCCTACGATCCCGATCCTGGTGGCGCCCTTGCTCTCATCAGCGACCAGGTTGGCACTGAAGCCCAGTCCCCTCCTGGGTCAGTTTGTCTCCTCATACCCCGTCCTCTGCAGGTGGTTTGGAACCTAAGTCAGAGGTGAAGGAGAGGCTGAGGGCCTGGAGTGCGACTGTGGCTCGAAGGTCCCCTAGCTGAGATACGAGGGAGAGGGATCAGCAGGAGCACAGCTCTGAGCAGTCAGCTCTGGTCAGCGCTGCAGACAGCAGGCTGGAAAGCAAGCCTGGAGGACACCAGGGGTTGTAGGCAAGGGGGCCCCAGTGGCCCCTTCCCACTGCTTCAGAGCAGGACCCTGATGTCTTCTACCCCTTCTGACCTAAGTGCAGGGGGCCACATCTGGAGACCTGGCAGCAGCCGGCCTGTCTGGGGGCACCCGAAGTGTTGGTAATGTGCAGGCTCCTGGCAAAGAGCAGAACCGTCCTGTACTGAATCCAGAAAGGAGACCGCAGCCTCCAGTCCTGCCCCAAAGCCTTGGTTGGGACGGGACACAGCCTTGCTGCCCCTTTCCTGAGCTGGCCAAGTTTAAGGGGCAAAGGCCCCCACCCCAATCTGAGTAAGCGGTGCTGCTTGCTCAACTCCAGGAATATGTTAATTCAAGCTTCAAATTGTAATCACTTCTTTATAAAAGTTTTGAATTAAGCCAATGCACATACACTTTTCATGTTATACAATTTCCTTGGTTTTGGGGCCCCTAATGGGGAAACACCACTTAAACTATGAACTCAGGCAAGAGACATTTTCTGGAGCAAAGGAATAAATGAATTGAGATGTACTTCCCTCCAAGTAGGGCCAACACTAAATACTAAAGCCTCCAAAAGACCACTCAACATTCAACTCATTATGCCTACTTAAAACTTCAGTTCTAAAGATTTGGGAAATACTGTACCTATTTTCTAGTGCTCAGGTTCAACTTAGTGAGACCGTCTCAAAATAAATAAAAGGGGCTGGGGATGTAGCTTAGTGTGAAGGTCCTGGGTTCCATCCCTAGCAGTGCAAACAACAAACAACCCAAATCATAAACATGATTTCCTATACATATTTTTTATTTTTTGTTTTGTTTTTGGTACCGGAGATCGAACTCGGGTCCTTGTGTTTGCAGGACAGGTGGCGGCACCACTGAGCTAAACCCCTGGCCCTACACATTTTTTTTTTTTTTTGGTACTGGGGATTGAACTCAGGTCCTTGTGCTTGCAAGGCAGGCGGCAGAACCACTGAGCTAAATTCCCGGCCCCGTTACACATTTTTTTTATAGCTTGGGATGGAACCCAGGGGCCTAGTGCACACTAGGCAAGCACGCTATCAGAGCTACATCCTCAGGCTTTTTTTTCTGGTACCAGGAATAGAACTCAGGACCTTTGTTTGTTAGGCAGGCATGGCACCACTGAGCTAAATCCCTGGCATTTTTTTTTTTCTTTTGAGACAGGGTCTTGAAGTGTAGTCCAGGGTGGCCTCAAACTCATGTGATCCTCCTACCTCAGCCTCTTGAGTGCTGGGATTACAGGCATGCACCACCACACCCAGCTCCAAGGATTGCTGAGTTTAAGGCCAGCCTGGGCTACATATTGAGACCTTATTTCAAGAAAAACAAAAATTTTTTAGTTTTCCTCTTAGGTTTGTAATCTACTTGGAAGTTTTTGCGGGGTTAAGTGGGCATTGAACCCAGGCCCTTTACAGGGTGCTAAAGTCCTGAGCACCTTCTGAATTTGAGACAGGGTGTTGCCAGATTACTAAATTGCCCAGGCAAGGCATGAACTTGCAATCTTCCGCTTCAGCCTTATAGAGTGCTGGGATTCCAAGTGTGCAGCACCATGCGTGGCTGATTTTTGGGTATTTTGTCAAGTATTGACCTAGTTCTTATTTTCAAATAGAAAACCAGTTTTAAACAAGGGGTTTTTCTTTTGGTACCAGGATTGAACTCAGGACCTCAGGCACTGTGCCAGAGCTACATCCCCGGCCCCACAGGGCTTCTTAAATGGTATCAGATCATATCATATTCCTTTTCAATCTCTTTCTCTCAAAGTTGTATGGTGAAAATCCTCAAAATACACAGAGCAGTGAAAACCTAACATGCACCAAACAGCAGACTAAGGCGCCCTCTCTAAAACACTAGCGTGATTACCTGGTGATGCTTTACCTCAGGTACGTGATCACCTCTGATGGGCTTTAAACCAGGCAGGCAGACTCCAGCCAGGGAAGAGGGATGCTTTAAAGGCCAACTAGTTGTGGATGGAGCTAAACAGTCTGACTAAAGACCTCAAACATGCTTCCCTCAACAAACTGGGCTGACTCCAGTTAATACAACAGCTGAGCAGACACCTGCTCACATCCCTCAAAGGGACCGTATTGGCCCCAGCTGACAAATCCAATCCTTGTCCATAATTTAGGCAGGACAAAGTGTAGATATCAAGTGGGGCTTATGATTCCATAAGGCTTAAGTTTGTGTGTGCACGTGCACGCAGTTCTAGGAGTTGAATCCAGGGCCTCTGCGCTGACCTTGAGCTTGTGAGGCAGGCGGTGGCACCACTGAGCTAAATCCCCAGCCTTCTTGGTAGGTTTTAGGGTTTTACTCAGCGGCTAGGTCTGGGCTCAAACCTGTGAACCTCTTGCCTCAGCCTCCCAGAGTGCTGGGATTACAGGGGTGCAGCACATGCCGTTTCCTCAAGGGTGTTCCAGTCAGTGTAGGTAATGTGAGATTTGCTCCTCTCTGCTGAGGACAGGGACATTGCTTCGCTGCACTGACTTGTGGATCTCAGTCCTAGAGGCTTCTGGACAGACTAGCTATTGGGATAACCGCTGATAGGAAGCAGCTAACAGCAGCTGCCACGTGAATGTTAGCTGTGTGCCAAGATCTCTTCTTTTTGCTCCCTCTGAAGAAGGCTGCCCATGGGGAGCCAAAGGTGCACAGGTGGGGGGTGGCAGAGAGCTGCAGCAGGCCAGGCAGTCTGACTCCTGAGTGGGCTCGCTCACACCACTCCATCCCCACCGCTTCCAGCCCAGGGCAGCCAGCGTTCTCCATGGAGAGGGACTATGGCTGAATTCTAACCATCAGATTAGTTTCCGAGACAGGGTCTCAATATGTAGTTCAGGTTGGCCTTGAACTATTTTTTTTTTTTTCTTTCAGTACCAGGAACTGAACTAGGGACCTTGCACTTGCCAGGCTGGTGTGGTGCCACGGAGCTACATCCCCGGCCCCTTTAACTATCAGATTAGTAAGGTCAATTCTGACACACGTTTCGCCAAGACAAAGACAGCTGAGGGCAGTAAAAATGGCCAAAAGCATTAAAGGTTATGAAATGAATAAATAAGTGAGAAAAGGAAGAGGTGGCTTCACTCAGCCTGAGGACCCTGTGCTGTTCTAGGGTTCCAGAGCCAGAGCTCCAAGTCATGCTATTTCCACAGGAGAATGAAAAGTCTTCACAGCTTACTTCCTTTAATTACATCATAAAACAAAATTAGAACGTACAGGAAACAATAGTTACATAACAATTTATGTATTTATATATAAAAAACATTTCTTTTTTAGTCCAAAGATTTTAAAGCAAAAGGAATCCTCTACTGTCACCTGGGACTTTTTTAAATAACCCCCTCCTGTCCTCAGGTGCCAAGTGTTAGGTGGAAACAGTCACTCGGGGAGCACATGGAACCTGGCCTTAAGCTGCCGTGTGGGGATGGCCTGGCCTTTGGTGGCAACAAGCAAGCAGCAGCCCCCATGGAAAAGGAAGCTCTCCAGGGTGGCCGAGGGCGGGACTGCTCAGGCCGCCCTCTGCATCTGACCCCCAGGAGGGTGAGGGTGGGAGTGCAGTGAGGCAACAGCCTGGCCTGAAGTAAGAATTCCCCAGCAGCACCAGGCACCCATCCACCTGTGCCCAGGCAGAGTGCGACAGGCATGGGGTCCTCACAGTTCTCTGAGCTCTGCACAGGCCACATCACTCGGGTCTGTGCCCTCAGGGTCACTGAAGATGGGCAAAGGCGAGCAGAGCACAGCCACTGGGTAATGGTTCCAGGAGGGAGGCAGTGAGTGGCCCCTCTCCTCATAGCGACCCCAGGCTTGGGAGCACAGCAGCAGCCACAGACTCCGACCTTGCCCCGGTCCCAGACCTGCTGCGTGCCCACTGAATTGAGCCGGTGTTAGTGTGAAGTAAGGGTGAAGGGGAGAAAGAGAGAAATCACAGGCACACCCCCTTCTTGTACTTATTAGAAATTAACAGTCATCAGAAAAGTACAGATAAGAAAGAACTCTGAAGGGAAAACCTGATGTAAACCCAGGAAAGTAGCAGCAAAGGTTTCACTCAGTAAAGATCCATTACATAGCACTAGAAAAGAAAATCATTTGTCTGGGGGGGGGATGAGGGTGTAAAGTAATTAAACCATACCAGCTAGAAACTCTTTCTCAAGTTAGGATTTTCTAAGACTTTAGGTTCTCATTTTCTAGTGCCAATAAAAGAAAAAGAAAAGAGAGTAAAAGAAAAGTAATTATTGACTTCAAAGTCTGGGAAGGGTTAGGCTGAGGAAAACATAAATATGAGCAGCAGTGTACAGACTGGAGTTAGTAAGTAGCAAGAAGGGCAAAGTTTCCTTCTGTGGTAACAAAGACATCACTTCAAGACTGCCGTGGTTCTCCGGCACAGCAGGAGAGGAAAGGCACACCTGGACACCTTCCCCACCCACCTCTCTTCTGTGAGTCTTGTTCGCTGAACCAGCCATGGACACAAGCAGCTGGGAGGCCCTGGTGGCTCTTTTTGCTGGACCCTCCCTGGGTGTCTCTGGTGAGGGGACATAAGCCCTCCTGGCAGGAAGAGGGTGTGGAGTCCATCAGGCGAAGGCAGCTGTCACCACTGCTGAGATCAGATGCTGTTCCTGAGGGAAGGACCCCATTCTAGAACCACTTCCCCACTTCCCGCTGAACCACACCTATCATTTCCCTAGGTCAATTTGTCAAAATAAGAAATGCAGAAAACACAAAATAAAAGGGCCACAGACACAATTCTGCTTGCTCATGGTTCTCCTTGGTAGAGGGCAAAGAGCTACTCTGGGTGAGGAAGCACTGAGATTTGGCATCTGCCAAGTGAGCTCCCCAAGGGCTGCCCGGAACCCACTCAAGGCAGGGAAAGCAGCACACTGGACGTTCTCTAGCACAGCCACTGGGAGGGCCCAACGGTGTCAACGCTTCTTCAAAGTGTAACTCTCTTGGGCTCCTGAGATCCAGTCACCCAGTCAAGAGCTCACATACTGACTTAAGGACCAAATGCTTCAGGGGCACTAAACTGATGTCCCTAAGAATAAAAGCGGACAGAACAGGTAGATTTGGCTTGAATGGAAAGGGGCAGATGGCCTTCATGCAAAAACCTCACCTCATATGGCAGCTTCTGGCAGGCAGAGTCTGTCTCAAGTAAAAAGGCAAGGTTAGAGCAGTAGGTACTTCAGTGGCCTACGTTCTTTGCTGGAGAATGAAGATGTAAATTAGGATATAGTCATTTACAACCTTATTCTCTGAATTGTCTGGGTTAATTATACCCTCCAGACAAGGTCTTACACACTGTCATCTCCAGTCTTCATCCTCTTACTGCTTTAGAGTCCTCTGACCCAAGATGGCTCTGAGGGATGTAGGGATTCTGGCTCAAGACATCCGGAGCTCAATGCGGGTCTGTCAGCCAGGAGGACACAGGGACAGAAAGCTATCCCTGAGGGAGAAGGTGGCCTTCCTATGGCAGCAGCTGCTCTGGGAAGTCTGTGTCTTGTTGCCCAGGCACATGAAGCGGCCACGGCAGATCATGATCTCCAATGCCCCTGGCATCTGAGGAGATGCTCCTCACAGGAGCCAGCCTTTCTCACACATCTTCATGACTTCAAGCCAAGACAGGTTCCACTGCATACTGTTTGGTTCCCCGCACCATCAGTGGGCTATCAGACCAATAAAAATGTACTTTGTAAGGCAATTAGATGAATGGAAAGACTGGGCTACTATAGCATCACAGCTATATTGAACAATTCAAATAGTCAAGCCCCAAAGAAAAAAGCATCATAAAATTATTATTATTTTTTGATATCGGGGATCGAACTCGGGTCCTTGCGCTTCTGCAGCAGGCGGTGAAACCACTGAGCTAAATCCCCAGCCCTGCATCATAAAATTATTGACCAGGTTTTCCTCTAAAATGTCTGACACGGGATATGTAAAATATCTTGACTTTATATCTGCTAATCAAACTTAAAGGATATGGAAATCAGATTGGAAATTTACAAAAAACCATTCAAGAATGCTTTTACATCCAGTAAAGATGAGAGCAGAATACAAGGAGAAAACATTTTTAACACAAAGCACAAATGTGCTTTCACCCTCTAAATATTGGAAAAAAGGCAAAAGTCAGATCTTACTCTTCATATCAGTTTGATTCTGAACTCAGTTCAAATCCAGCAAGCACAGAAGACAACCCAGTGAAAAATGATCAGAGCCATTCAACAGTTAATTCAAGGCCATCCACAGCACTGCTTAGGACAAGGACCCAAAGTAGCAGCTAGACTAACGGAGAGGAAGCCAGCCACGCTACTGGGGTGACACAGAGGCTTCAAGAGAGGACAAGGATGGTGTGGGAAGGAAATGGTGACAAAAGATGAGAAGGGAAAGATGCTGGAATCACCTCAGCAGGGCTGATGAAGATGATGTGAAAAATGGTGATGTAGCCAACAATGCTGGAAAATATGATGGGTGAGACTGGGCAAGGATGCTCAGAAACAAGGTGATGTGATGTCTAGGAAGTTTCCCCAGACACTGTGGTGATCCCTCCCGGCCACTGGGAACTTAGGGTAGGAACTGTGAGAGTACTTTCTTTTCATGTCTCTTCTCTGTTCACACTATGTATTTTCTCATTATAAAAGGTATATTCTGGGGCCGGGGATTTAGCTCAGTGGTTCTGCTGCCTGCCTCTCAAGTGCAAGGACCCGAGTTTAATCCCCAGTACAAAAAAAAAAAAAAAAAAAAAACGTGTATTCTGGAGTGGCTATGAAATCAAACCAATAAACTAATAGATTTTCCTATGTCAAGCCTTGCTGGATTCCAGAATCTGGGTACTCCAGATGCGGACAGGAAGTACATGTTCAGGCACCAGGACCCTTGTCCACCTGACCCAAACGTACCATGTAGTCAGTCAGCACAAAAAATGTATTTTCTCCCAAACTCGATGGGGGTCTAAAGTTTCTCTTTGGGCTAATATACTGAGTTTCATTTCATTTTACTATTTTTTTCTGAGTTTCATTTTAATAAATGAAGTTCTTGAGAAAGGAACAGGCTCTGGCCTAAGCACACATGAGCCAGTGCTGGACATGTGTGTCTTCTACTTCACTTCTGTTCCCAGCCCAGCTAGGCTGGCCTTTGCCTCTGCAGTGCGGGTGCCAGGGCAATCCAATGGGTGCACCTGCATATGGGGTGCCCTTTGTGTAGAAGGATGGCATTTTAAAGACTTTTGATGTACTGGTGGAAAAAGAGGGTCTCAAACTTTTCAAATTAGGCAATTCAAATCCACATTCACTAATACAGGTTTCAGTATTGATTTGTTTAGGAAAAACAAAACTCACACGTTGGAGGAGAAGGACCCTGAATATTTGTTAGTTTTGTTTCAACACGTGTCCTGGCCCTCTGAGTATTATGAACCACATCTGGAAGTGTATGTGTCCATGACTGCACTTTTACATGTGGGTTATAGCCAGAAGAACAAGGCTCATATAAGAAAGTGTGCTCCTGCTGTGAGTAGTGTGACCGTGGCATCCCAACCACTGGGAGACTGAGACAGGAGGATCTCTTGAGCCCATGGTTCAAGATCAGCCTGTGGACCATAGCAAGACCCTGGACGCACGAGGTGCAGTGGCACATGCCTACGATCCTAACACTTTCTACGCTGAGCCAGGAGGACTGTGAGTTCAAGGCTAGCCTGGGCCACACGATGAGACCCCACTTCAGAAAACAAAAATATTCCTTACAGGGTAACTTTTTTTTTTGTTTTTGGTACCGGGGATTGAACTAGGGTCCTTGTGCTTGCGAGGCAGGTGGCGGAACCACTCAGCTAAATCCCCAGCCCCCTTACAAGGTAACTTGAAAAGAGGAGGCATGAAAAAGACAAATAATCTGAACTTTATAAGGGAACATAATGAAATAGAATTTAAATAATAATAGTAACAGATTTAAAAGATCTTTTCATGTGATTGCTTTCTGTATCAACAGAGCAACACATCAAGACTTTATTCTTGGATACGCTGGTAGAACCAGTTCTTGCAGCATTAAAATAAGCCCTTGAACAATCTGGATCATGCAGGAGATGATCTAAGACCATAGTGGATTATACATTAATGTTCTAAAAAGCCCCTACCCCAATCAATCACCCTATTAAAAAGAAACCTTAGGCTTTAGAAACTCCATTTTGTTTTCTTTTTTTTTCTTTGGGTACTGGGGATCAAACTCTGGACCTTGAGCTTACAAGGGCAGGCGCTAGAACCACTGAGCTAAATCCCCGGCCCTCCATTTTATTTTCTTCATCCTGTGATTGAACCTAGGGCCTTGGCACTGAGCTACGTACGTCCGTAGCCCTCCTGCCCCCTTAAAAATTTTTTTTGGTACCAGGGATGGAACTCAGGACCTTGCGCTTTGCAAGGCAGGCAGCGGGACCATTGAGCTAAATCCCAGCCCTTAAAAAATTTTTTGAGACAGGGTTTTTTTTTGCTCAATTGCTAATTTGCCCAGGCGGGGCTTGAATTCATGGCCCTGCTGCCTCTAGCTCTCAGTGCTGAGATCATAAGCATGTGCTGCCATGCCTGGCCTCTATGGTATCTTGGAGCAAGGAGCTTATCTCTTTTTTTTTTCCTTTTGGTGGCACCGAGGACTGAACACAGGACCTTATGCATGCTAAACAAGTGCTCCACCACCGAGCTACCTCTCCAGCCTCCTTTTAAAGTTTTATTTAGAGTGAGGGTCGTGCCAAGTTGCCCAGCCTAACCTTGAACATGTGATCCTGCTTCATCCCCGAGCAGCTGGGATTACAGGTGTGTGACACTGTACCTGGTTGGGGGAGAGCTTCTTCTCAGACTCTGACTCATCAGTACTGAACCTCTTTTTCCTCAGTCCTGACGCCATTCCAGGCACCTTTTAATCCCTCTCAAGGTTCTATTCCAGATACCCAATCTCTTCAACTGGCCACTTTCACATTCCACTGAAAGAAGTCTGGGGCAGAAGAGAGAGATGACTGAGGTGGCCTGGGCCCTTTGAGTACCAACATTGGCTATGAAACTCTTAACACAGACAGAGTTGACCAGACGTTACAGGGCATTCATGTATTCCTGATGGGCTGAGATGGGGGTGGGGCTGGGTGCCGCCAAGTACAGCTGCACTGGCAGCACTGCCGATACAACCAACAGGGCAGAGATGCCAGAGATCACGCCTAGACCTCAGGAACACAGACAATGAGATTATTAATGTCTTGAGCTAGGGGGTAGGGACCTCCAGGCTCAGTTTTGCTATCTATTCTTTAGTAACAATACATTTCTCATTTCTCTCTTTCCTTAGTAAGTTACCTCCGTCTTAAGGAAGGACGTGTGCAGGGGGAATACTGGGCACCTCATGAGAATTATCATATATCCCAAGATATAACAGAAACGAAAAGGCAAAGTTTGTTCTCATCAAAATAATTTTAGCTCGATTTCTTCCCATTATTTTTCTTTTTCAGATTGGCAAAGATTCAAGCAGGGTCCCCTAATGGTAAAATTTCGAATTAAAAAAATATTTATTGATAATGTCTCTTTTAAAAATGTTTGATATCCCCAACTAATCATCCAAAATGCAAACTGTAAACATAACAGCCAAAGAGTAACAACTGTTTGAGTAGCAGATTGTGACCAGGGGACACACCAAGCAAGAGTGCAGAGGGAGCCACAAAGAGAGGAAGACAGGTGTGTGGTGTGATACAGACAATGACAATTTGAGTAACCACATCCGCACTGCAGCGATTTCAATGTAGTACTTAAGAAACCCCTGGGCCAAATACTAAAACACACGAGGAATGGACAAGCCTTCTTTGTGAGCATGCTCAGCATGTTGGCATGGAAACAGGAAGCACAGAAGCTACGTAGTCATTTCGTAATGATGGCTACCACTTCTAGGATGCAAAGAAATTTCTTTCTGGTCCCTGGATACATCATGTATTGTTTTTCCATGCTTTCCTTGATCCTGGATGACTGCAGTTACTGTTCCAAAATCCCCAGGGAAACCCCCTAACAAAATAAAGAAACCAACACAGCAGTAACACTGGGTCTGCTGAGGGCCCCCCGCTCTGTGCTGGCCTATGATGCTCTTCTGGGCGCATCCGGCAGGAATGGTTAAGTTTCACCAATCCACTTGATAAAGCCAGCACGAACTTCAGTCTCATGGCCAAAGCCAGAGTGGATGGGGTCAGGTGTGGATGCATACGTATGTGTGGCTCAGGGGACCTGGACACTGCCTCACTCTGTAACCCTGCCCAGAACCTTGGGGTCACTTCTGCTGGAGATGCCAGGTGACTCTAGAGTGTTCTCAAATACTCAGTTCACCGAAGCTGACCCCTCCAGTGTCATAGGATAATGCAGCATCTGCAGAAGCGCTGTCGGCTGCCCCCGACTGATGGGGGTGGAGTGACAGGTGCGAAGTAGGCGTGGACTTTAATGTTGGGTAAGTGGGTCTGAAACAAGACAGAAACATTACAGAGAGATCCGCTCAAACACAGGCACAGCGCTTTCCAGAAAAGCCACTGAGGGGTTCCGATAGTATAAAAGCAGGGGAGAGGCTGAGGACCAGCCAGGAGGTTTAGGTGCCTGGGTTTCACTTTGTTCCATCCTACGCTGTGCTAGTCGTATCAACTCAAAGAACTTTGGTACCTATTTTTACAATAAAACTGGGGGAAAACATACATATTTTTGGCAGTACTGGAGACTGAACCCAGGGTCTCTGTACTGAGCTACATCCCTAGGGCTTTATATTTTTTTCTTTTTTTTTTTTTGGTACTGGGGATTGAACTCAGGTCCTTGTGCTTGCGCAGCAGGTGGTGAAACCACTGAGCTAAATCCCTGGCCCTATATTTTTTTCATTTTGAGGCTGGGTCTAAGTTGCCCAGGTTGAGCTCAAACTTGTGATTCTCCTGCCTCAGCTTCCCGGAGTGTGCCACCATGTTCAGCAACATCATATTAATTTCTTATCTTGTCCCAAAGGGATTCCCAGTTGGAAATGGCTATGCAAGCTTAAAATAATTATCTTTCCAAGTCACTGCAGACAATGTCTGTCTCTCCTTTCCTCACTCTCTTCCTGTTATTTTTCTGAGACAGGGTCTCACTATGTAGCCCAGGTTGGCCTCAAACTTACAGTGATCCTCCTGCCTCAGCCTCCTGAGTGCTAGGATTACAGTCATGTGCCACCACATCTAGCTTGTCTTTTTCTTATTAAAAAAGAAAAACACTCACTATCCATTTTTAACATGCATCTAGCCTTTCCTTCTATCTCTGAATGCCCACTATGTTCAAGGCAATATGCTACATATGAGTGACAGGGGCACAAAGATGGTCAACATAGGGATCCTGTCCATAGGAAGCTTACAGCCTGGAAATGGAGAAGTGCTAAGTGACCCGGAGGAAGCCTAACAAAACTATCTCCGGAGGACTCTGAGATGGAAGACATCCTAGGGGCCAGGAACCCTAGTGTCAGCAGGCCATGTAAGAGGCTCTCTGCTCTTTAGCTGCCAGGCTTCTCCCAGTGCAGTCTGGCTCTTGGTCCGCTCAGGTGAAAGAGGAGGAGGGACTGATGCCAGTGGAACTCAAAGAGGAGCTCTGGTGTTCCTTTATTTGCTCAAAACCATGTGGTCAAATGGACTTTCAGAGGCTGTGGTGAGGTCCTAAGTCACCAGAGTGCCTCTGCCCCAGTAGGTGTGCGGCAGATCTTTCAACAAATGTCCACAGACTCATCTAGCTTTGCATGACTTCTTTGCTGGCAACCTGAATCTCAGTCTCTACCACGGAGGATGGGGACAGAAGAAAAGGTAGAAATCTACTCGATTCATTGCTAAAAAATAAGAACCCCAGGAAAAGGGTTTGATGTGAAGAGGAAATGCAAACTGAATTCACAAATCCTACTTAAACATTTTCTTTACGTTATTCCCTTCTTTCCTTGAGAATCACAATTTGGCCAGTGTTTCTTTCCTTTTTTGTACTCTGGGGATGAGATCAACTCGGGACATTCCGGACAAACTCTGCTGGGAGGAGACCTACTTGTCTTCCCTTCAGTGGGTATTTCTCTACCAAACTTCCATCTGGAACCACAAGTAAACACAAGTAAAAAGTATCTGTCTTTGGGCCAGGGATAGCTCAGTGGTTCCCCCGCCTGCCTCTCAAGTGCAAGGTCCTGAGTTGATCCCCGGTGCCAAAAAAAAAAAAAAAAAGTATCTGTCTTTACATTTGTTCTCCATTTTTTCCCTTCTTGCTAGATGCCCAAGTAACTATAAAAACCACAGTAGTCTAAATCTGAAAGAAGAAAAAAGAGAGAGGAAAAGTGCTGAGAACACCAGTGTGGAGAGCACCGTGGCTGCCTCACCCTGAGTCTCTTGATCCCCGCGCGCGTGATCTGCTGGCAGTCATAGAGCTCGATCCGCTCCAGGCTGTGGCAGCTCTTCAGGTGCTCCAGGGATGCGTCTGTGATGAGTGGGCAGTTGTCCAGCTCGATCACCTCCAGCTGGTCGTGCGCACAGGCCCCATTCCCCAGGTGGCGGATGCCGTCATCTGTGATAAGCTCACAGTGGGACAGACTCTGCAGCCACAGAAAGGAGGACGGGTGTGCACTGTCAGAGGTAGTACTTTCTGGTGTGACTCGAATACGGAGCAATCAATGAAGCCATGCATGACAGAATGAAGGAGGCACCTAGAGGCACTGGGGTCTGCGTGTAGCAATCCATGATCGAGCTTTGTGTGTTATTCTAAATGTACTTTGTAAATTCATGTAATGACTGTGAACTTCATAAATAAAGCAAGACACCTTTTAAAATTACCCCTCCCCAAATTAGTACTTTTCTTCTCCATAGGGCTGAGAAGGGATCAAGCTTTTCATGCACAAAATTCTCTGGAATCTCAACTAAATAGTGACTAGTTGGTGTAGGGCCTGACTCAACAGTGAATCAGCTAAAGATCACTGGGATCATCTCAGACATTCTCTCTTCATCAATTCTCTTTGAATCTATTTTTGGAGAATTCTGAACTTGTGACCCAATTTAGGAGTATGGGGTTACTAAACACTCTAAAAATGAGCCTGGACACACAACAGTGAACCAAAATGTCTTGTTGGTTGTCTTTTTTTCTTTGCTGTACTGGTGATTAAACCCAGGGCCTTTGCACTTAGCTATGTCCCATATCTTTTTAATTTTTTATTCTGAGACAGGGTTTTGCCAAATCACTAAATTACCCATGCTGTGGTGGAATTTGTGATCCTCCTGCCTCAGGTACTCAGAGAAGTGGGATTAAGGGTACGCACTATCACACCCAGCAAAATACCTTCTAAAGAATCACTGATTGTAGCAGCAAGAAGTTGCTGTCTAAGGACTGGATTGTTTCTGTTTTATAAGAACACAAGGTCCAAGGTGAAATAAATGGTAATCTGGGCCATCTCATCCTCTGGGTCTCTGGCAATGTAAGCGTCAAAATGCCACTCAGCCTGGATGGTGCTTCCTGATGGGGAGAGGGCCCACCCTCCTGTGAGTTCTTGGGCTCTAGGCATCAACACTGGTGGTGTTTACCTCTTGTCCCTGTAGTACTCCCCACTTCACTGAAGCCTTCCCTGGTCCTCTGGAAGCTGGCAACTCAGGGAAGCATACTTTACCAAAATAGTGCTAGATACTGAGAGGAAATTAAAAGCTGTTTCTTACTTTAAACAAACCATGGAACTGTGTTTTGATTCAATCCAATAAATAAGTAAAATTTGAGAGTCAAACTCACCAACACTTGAAGTCGAGGACAGTGTATAGAAAGTTGAATTAATGTGCTATCAGTTATCTGAAAGAAATATATGTTTAAGTATAATTCCAAACAGTCACAGGCTGTTTTCCTTTTTGACTCTACTTTAAGTCTAGACATTATCAAATAATGGATCCTTAAGGTCTCAAAAAAATTTTTTTGAGACAGAGTCTCAATATGTCACTAAGTTAGCCAGGCTGGACTTGAACTTGTGATTCTCTTGGCTTAGCCTCCCAGCATGCAGGGATTACAGGCCTGCACCACTAGAATCCAGCTATTATCTTCCATTTTTATTTTTACCATTAAAGATTTGTTACTCTTTCTAGAGCTCTCCCTCTAAAGTTTCTTTCTAATCAAATTAATAATTGAAAAATCCTTTATTTGGAGGGTACTGGGGATTGAATCCAGGGTCTTCACACTGAACTGTATCTTCACCCTTAACATTTTTTTTTTCTTTTCTTTTTCTTTTGGTACTGGGGATAGAACTCGGGACCTTGCACTTGAAAAGCAGGCGCTGGAACCACTGAGCTAAATCCCCGGCCCTTTTTTTTCTTCTTTTTCTTTTTTGTGAGACAGGGGTTTTGCTAAGTTGCTAAAGTTGCCAAGACTAGACATAAACTCATGAACCTCTTGCCTCAGCTTTCCAGAATGCAGGAATGGATATGCACACCTGGGTGAAAAAAAAATTTTTTTTTTGTACCGGGGATCGAACTTGGGTCTTTGCGCTTGTGGGGCAGGCGGCAAAACCACTGAGCTAAATCCCCGTTCTGGCTGAAAAATCTTAAAACTGGTTATAAAAGAAATTGTTGATAAGGTCAGCAGTGCAGAATTCCACAGAGTGTAAAGTTTCCAGGGCTAATGAAGGGATCCAGGGTCCAGTCAAGCTAAAAAAATGACAGTGCTACAGAGCACTATACTAGGGCTGTAAGTATACTAGTGTAACTGGAATTGCAACTCTGTAGATCTGATGAAAACAGAATTTTCAAAACTGCTAAGGCCCAAGTGATTTTCTTGCCTCAGCCTCCTGATAGCTGGGACTACGGCTCAGGCCAGCACAACCAGCATAAGAAAAACTTTAACAGCTTATGGCCTGAACACTTGGGTGTCCTTCTGGCAGTCTGACCATAGCATCTATTTTCTTTTTTTCCTTGTGGGACCAGGAATCGAACTCAGGACCTTACGTTTCCAAGGCAGGCATGGCACAACTGAGCTAAATCCCCGGCCCTCGCATCTATTTTCATAGTTCATTAAGACACAGGCCATAAAAAAAAAAAAAAAGACTCGGCCATAGCCACCCGCCAGGAGTGACAGAAGACAGCTCAGTACGTGGACAGGCAGGGGTACTGCCAGGTAGTTTAGTGTCCCACACCAGGAAGGGACTGGACCATTCTCATGTGCATGGATTGTGTATATTTCTATTGTGGTGTATTTGTGAATAAAATCCTGTAATTTTACCTGAACACATTCTTCCAGGTCCATCTTTTCAAGCTCATGGCAATTCTACAAAGCACAAATCAAACAATACCATATAAAGATTTAAAACATGGGAATACTTTACAGCCAGAAAACTAAGATGTGGTATTAAATATACCAACGAAATCTTAAGTGTTTCAGAGTTGTTGTCATTCTAATGTCACTTTCTATCTTATTTCATAATTAAAAGGCTTTGATCATCGTGACATTTCTCAATTATTCCACATATAAATATCTAACATAAATACACGGGAATAAATTTGCTAACAGTGAGCTAATAATAAACCATCAAATAATTTAATGAAAATTTTCTTTGGAAGACAGGAAACAATTATGTTCTTCCTTAGTTGGGTGTCAAGGCCCTCATCAATTAGCACTCCATTCGTCTGCCAGAAAGTGAATGACCCTCTGTTCCTAATACTGGTCAAGGCAGTTTAATTTTAACCGTTGTTACCTTTCCTTTCTTCCTCCCTTCTCTCTTTCCTTTCTTTTTTGCAGTACTGGGGACTGAACCCAGGCCTTGCGCATGTTAGGGAAGTGCTCTACTACTGAGCTACACCCTCTGCCCTTTTCCAGGATTTTCTTTTGATACGGTGTCTAAATTGCCTCGAATTCAGAATCCTCTTGCCTCAGCCTCCCTTCCCTATAGGTGGGATTACAGGCATGCACTACTGTGCTTAGCTCAGGCTTGTATTTCTTTTTCTTTTTTCTTTTTTTTTTTGGTACCAGGGATTGAACTCAGGTCCTTCCTCTTCTGAGGCAGGCAGCGGGCTTGTATTTCTTTTAACATTAAACATTGCTCACACTAACTAGAAATATACCAAATAACAGGTTTTTTTCACAAAGCATCAGGAAGTCTGTGTTTATCATCTTATGAAACCATGGAGAACTCAAGTCACAGAGAGTGTCTGGTTCTCTCATATATGCCTGCATTTCTAGAACAGCTTGTATTCTTTATTTTCATGATACTGGGGATTGAACCCAGGGCCTTTGCACTGAGCTACATTTCCAGCCATTTAAAAAAAAAATCTGAGACAGGAGCCAGGGGTGGTGGTGCATGCCTATTATCCCAGTACTTGGGCAGATAAGGCAGGAAGATCACCTTGAGTTCAAGGCCAGCATTGGCTACCTGAGACCCTGCCTCAAAAAAACAAAAACAAAAACAAAAATGTGTGGGCTGGGGATTTATCTCAGTGGTTCCACCGCCTGCCTCACAAGCCTAAGGTCCCAAGTTCGATCCCCAGTACCGAAAAAACAAAAACCAGCAACAACAAAAAACCAAAAACCAAATGTGAGATAGGATCTTTCTAAACTGCCCAGGCTGAGCTTGAACTTATAATCCTCCCAGAGTGCTGGGATGACAGCATGTACCATGGTGCCTGGCTGGCAGTTTGTTTTGTTAATGGCACCCTGCCTCACAATCCCAATTCTGTAGCCATACTACATTTTACTTGTTGCTCATTCTTCTGAAGTAAAAATCCCAAACAAAGCCTCCAGCAGGGCTGGGGATTTACCTCAGTGGCATTGTGCCTGCTTGGCAAGCACAAGGTCCTGAGTTCGATCCCCGGTACCAAAAAAAAAACCCAAAAACAAAACAAAACAAACCTCCAGCAGCAAACCTATGAAACCCAGAGAAAACACTTACCCTGGCCAAAGTGGTAAAACCCACATCTGTTAGTTGAGAACATCTTGCGACTTCTAATATTCTGTTAAAAATAAACAAAGTGAAAGTCAAGGTTTGGTCCCTGAAAACTGATTTTATTAAAACAGTAGGATTTAAGGAAAATAATTTCCTATTCTCTCAGGGCTTCGTACAGGGCAGTGACATTCAGAGCTAAGCAAGTCTGTGTACAGAGCTTGCTATGTATTTTCATCAGCATTAGTGGTCCTGAAAATACCACAGTTCAGGGTGGTGCATTCAAGCCCAGAGGAATCTAATGAAGCTTGTAGTTAATGCCAAACGCATAAAAGCCTTCTTGCTGGCATACTGCGTACCCCCAGAGGGCAGCCTGCTCCTAGAAAACAAAGGAAATGGAGATAAATACTCTAGTTCAGTTAATCTGTTGTGGAAGTAATTTACGTCTTTTCTACATTTTACATGTAGGTTCACTCAGATTTAAATCATTTTTTTTTTTGGTAGAGATTGAACTTGGGTCCTTGTGCTTGAACAGCAGGTGGTGAAACCACTGAGCTAAATCCCCGGCAGTTTATATCACTTTTTCAGAAAGGTAAAGAAGGGATTAATTTCAGGTCTGTCCCAAATACGAAGTTCCATACTTATGAATATTTCCTGCCTTTCCCCACAAGCTCCCAAGGATGCCTAGTCGAGAAAGAACCACTCCTAAAGATGAACCTGACTGGGTGTGGCAGCACACACCAGCACTCTGGGAGGCTGAGGGAGGAGGATCACAAATTAGAACCCAATCTGGGCAATTTAGTGACTTTGTGAGACTCTGTCTCAAAATAAAAAAATAGCCAGGGATACTGTAGAGTGGGGTTAATTTCTAGTACAGCTAAAAAACCAAAACCCCAAAACCACAAACCTAAATACCAAACACAGCACTGGGGAGTCAAAAGTAGCTCTATTTGGCTGGGCATGGTGGTGGACGCCTGTGATCCCAGCACCCTTGAAAGCTGAGGCAGGAAATTCACAACTGCTAGCCTAGCCTATCCTGGGCAAGTTAATGACTTGGTGAGATGCCGTTTCAAAACCAAACAAAAGGGGGTGGGGATTTAGCTCAGTGGTTTCGATGCCTGCTGCGCAAGTGCAAGGACCTGAGTTCGATCCCCTGTACTAAAACAAAAACCAAAAAAACCCAAAACACAAAAGGGCTGAGGATGTAGCTCAGGATGAGGGTCCTAGGTTCAACCACCAGTACTACGTGCCCACACCAACCCCACCCCTCTAGTCCGTGAAATGTCTGATGAACATATGTTGTTTGCTTACAAATTACCTACACATCAAAGTTAAAAAAATTAAAGCTACAGAAACAGAAAGCTACTGAAAATCAATCAGAAATGAATGAATGCTATATCCAATGGGAGAACATATGCTGAATGAAACAGGTCTTTGTTTTTTTGCAGTACTGAGGATGGAATTCAGGACCTTCTGCATGCTAGGCAAGTTCTCCACTGAGCCAAACTGCCCCCTTTAAAACTGTATCTTGCTGGGCTGGGGATTTAGGTGCTGCTGCCTGCCTCTCAAGTGCAAGGTCCTGAATTCAATCCCCAGTACCAAAACAAACAAACAAAAAACTACCTTGCCATGATGAACATAATCATTATGAATTCTGAGCATGTAGTAATAAAAATATTTAGGGCCAGGCATTTACCTCAGTGGTGCCATGCCTGCCTTGCAAGCACAGGGTCCTCAGTTCAATCCCCAGTACCGCCAAAAAAAAAAAAAAAAAAAAAAAAATATATATATATATATATATATATATATATATATATATATATATATATATATATATATATATATATATTTTTTAAAATTGTAATTTTTTTCTTTTGGTACCAGGGATCGAACTTAGGTCCTTGTGCTTGTGCAGCAGGCGGTAAAACCACTGAGCTAAATCCCTGGCCCTAAAATTGTATTTTGAGATAAGGTTTTGCTAAGTTTTCCAGGCTGGGGAACTTGTGATCCTCCTGCCTTGAGCCTCTTGAGCTTCTGGGATCATAGGTATATGCCACTATGCCCAGCTGAAACACAATTTTGGACTCTCACATTTGAGAGCCTTTTGGTTCTAACAGTAAAACCAGACAGGAAAATGAGTTGAAGACTCTTTCCTTTACAATAGAAAAAAAAATGTTTAGTACTTACTTTTCTTTTGGTATGTTTTTTTTTTGGTACCGGGGAATCAAACTCTGGACCTTGCAATTGCAAGGCAGGTGCCGGCACCACTGAGCTAAATCCCTGGCCCTTTCTTTTGGTTTTTTTTTGAGAGAGGGTTTTGCTATGTAGTTCAGGGTGTCCTTGAACTCATTATGTAGCCTCCAACATGTGGCAATCCTCCTGCCTCAGCCTCCCAAGTGCTGGGACTACAGGTGTGGGCCACCAAACCCAGCTTGTAGAGTATTTTTAGAGAGGTCTGGTTACCACAGATTTTCTTTCTTTCTTTTTTTTTGGTATCAGGGATTAAACTCAGGGACCTTGCGCTTGTGAGGCAGGTGCCAGAACCACTGGGCTAAATCGCCGGCCCCTACAGATTTCTGATATTACTCATTTTTGACCAACTAGTATATGCTCTACTAAGGAATTTTTATATTGGAGGCAAATGTTCTTTCATCAATTATGGTTGGGCTTATCACCAAGTAAATCAAAAATTTTTATGAAGTTTTCTTGCTTTATAATGATTATTAGATGTAAGACAAGTGGTTTTATGGGCTCTAGAGCAGAATACCTGGCTGTGAACTCTTGTTCCTGCCTTAGGAAGGGTTCTGAGACCATGAACACTTAGTTCACTTGTCTGTGTTTTGGTTTTCCCATCAGTAACAGTACTTACATGATGCTATGGAGGTTAAATAGATTAATACTTGTAAAGCACATAAGGCAATGCCTAACCTATAAGTGTTGCTTATTTATTTGTGGGCCTCCCACAGTCAAAGCAAGTGCTCCATATTCAGTTACATCCCCAGCCATTTTAGTTGTTTATTTTTAAATTTTGAGACAAAATCTTGATAAATTGTCCAGGCTGGGCTCAAACTTGTGATCCTCCTGCCCCAGCCTACTGCATACCTGGGGTTATAACTGGGTGCCATTGTGCCTGGCATAAGCATTGTTTTAAAAAACAAAAGCAAGCTGGTCATGATGGCGCACACCTGTAATCCCCGCACTCAGGAGGCTGAGGCAGAAGGATCACCGAGAGTTCCAGGCCAGCCTGGGCTACATAGTGAGTTCAGGGCTAGCCTAAACTACAAAGGAAGACCCTGCGCCTCAATAAAACAAAATAAAACCAAACCAAACCAAACCAAACCAAACCCAAACCCACCCCCCACCCCCAAATCCAAAAACAAATAGCCAGATACAGTGGTATAAATGTGTAATCCTAGCTACTCATGAGGCTGAGGCATGAGGATTGCAGGTTCAAAGCCAGCTGGGCAACTTAGAAAAACCTTACCTCAAAATAAAAAAATAGAAAAGGCCAGGGATGTAGCTAAGTGGCACCGTACCTGCCTGAGAAGCACAAGACCGATTTCCATTCCTGGTACCAAAAAATTAAAAATAAAAATAGAAAAAGGGCTGGGGATGCAGGTCAGTGGTGCAGTGAGTGCTTGCCTAGCATGTGTAAGAGCCTGGGTTCCATCTCAGGTTCTTCAAAAAACGTAAACATCAAAACACAACAAAAAAAGGGATCATTTCTACTCATTACAAAACTGTAATAAAAAAACCCCCTGTAATCAGTATGGATTTGATACTATGTGCATACTAAAAGAGAACTCATAGAACACAATAAACCAGCCCCATATTCAAATAGAGAACAGGAGCCACAGAGAAACATGCTATTCTAAGATAACAACAGCACAAAAGAGGCCGGGGATTTACCTCTGTGGTGCTGAGCCTGCCTCTTAAGTGCAAGGTCCTGAGTTCAATCCCCAGTACCAGAAAAAAACAAAACAAAATAAAACAAAGCACCAGAGCTAGGGATTTAGCTTAGTGGTGCTGTGCTTGCCTCAAAAATGCAAGGTCCTGAGTTCGATCCCCAGTACTGAAAAAAACTAAACCAAAACAAAAAAGCAAAAGAGGTCACCCTGTAGCACTGTTTCCAAATACTGCCATACATTAGGGATCATTCCTACAAACACACATGACTTTAGGGTCAGTGTTTAAAAACTTCTTTGAGACAGGAATCATATGAAAGCATAAATAACACGTTAATGGTTCAAGAAATAAACATGGGTAAAGGAGGGTTTTGATGTCCTTCCTTGACGTTTTTCAGTGACATAAGAAACGTTTACCTAAGCCGAGGGCAGTTCTGACCTAGCGCATTCAGAATGGCATCTGTGATGTTGGAGCAGCCAGAGGCACAGAGGGACTGCAACTTATGGCACCCTCTGCAGATAGTAATGAGACCTTCATCTGTGATTTGCTAAAAAAGACAACAGACATAGGTATCAGTAACTCAGCAGAATAAAAAGGGAAAAGATAGTACTTCTGTGAAAATCAAAACACAAAAAAGAAACCTAGGCAGGTTAAATATTAATCAGGTAGTGGACCTATCTGCTAAAAGAAACGGAACACACTTTGTTTCTTCTTTTGACTTCTGATATAGTCTCCAAAGGAATCTGTGCTACCCTCTGGTATAAAGAAACGTTAGCATGAAATTCTTTTAACCTAATGAGACTGGGAACAGCATGGGCTATGTCAGTGTGTAGATTCCATGAAATGATTTTTAAAACCTAGAAAACAGGCTAGAAAAGCAGTGTTTTAATAGTATAAACATATTTACAAATTCAAATTGAAACTTGTCAGTGAAAAAAACCAAAAACAAAAAAACCCCTGGATAATATTTGAAATCTCAGCACAACATCCATTTTTTTCCTGTGACTTAATTGCTTAACATAAAGAACATTCTAATTTATGGAGATAAAACAGTTGTGTTTAACTAGATATGTTATATTCTGCATTATTTAAAAGTTGTTTTATACTTATTTATTTGGATTTTTTTTGGGGGGGGGGTACCGGGGATCAAATTCGGGACCTTCCGCTTGTGAGGCAGGCGGCGCAATCACTGAGCTAAATTCCTGGCCCTATTTGGGTTTTTTTCTTTTTTTTTTTTTTTGGTACCGGGGATTGAACTTGGGTCCTTGCGCTTTCAAGGCAGGCAGCGGAACCACTGAGCTAAATCTCAGGCCCTATTTGGGTTTGAGACAAGGTTTCACTATGTAGTTCAGGCTGGCCTCAAACTCGCAGTGACCCTGCCTCAACCTCCCAAATGCTGAAATTACAGGTGCATGCCACTACACCTGGGTTGAATTGATTTTAAATAAAATAAAGTACACAAAAAGATGTAAAAAATGTTACATATAAACTTTTCTCTTTTTTTGTTGAGACAAGGGTCTTGCTATGTAGCTCAGGCTGGCCTCAAACTCACAGCAATCCTCCAACCTCAGACTCCCAAGTGCCAGGATTAAAGGTGCACTACCACACCCAGGTTTAACACTGTAGATATTAAGAGCACTTGAATATAACCTGTCAGATTTACCAATTTTGTGTTGGCTTAAAAGCTTCCTTGCCACCTGTCAAATCAAGCAAGGTCCGTAAATTGTAAGGACAATTGAGGGAAAGAAAAAAGAAGAAAAACTCCAAAGCTTTTTTAAAATTGAGACAGGATCTCGCTTTGCAGTTCAGGCTGGCTCTGAACTCATTATGTAGCCCAGGCTGGCCTCAAACTCCTGGCGATCCTCCTGCCTCAGCCTTTGGAGTACTAGGATTAGAGGTATGTGCCACCAAGCCCAGCTAATATCCACTGCTTAAATCAGCATGTTCTTAATTTTATGAAAGGAAAAAACAAAAACAAAAAAACCCTCCTCAAAACACCCAAACACACACACACACACAAAAAAACAAAAAACAGATTGAAAACTAGATGGTAAGAAAGACACATATTCATGTGGAAAAAGCAACACAACACATAATGCGATGTATCATTATTACTAAATAAGGATACTGGAGATGGAAGTGGAAGCAGGAATTAAATCATGGAAACGTAGCAGGGCACTGGAAATTGTGCCACATAGTAGCATTACAAAAGTACTGTAGGGCTGTGCTGTCCTGCCTTTCTTAAGGTTTGAAAGCCTGGCTAGGCGTGGTGGCACATACTTGTGGTCCTAGCTACTTGGCCTGCTGAAGGGGGAGACTGTTTAAGCCCAGGAATTCTGGGCAACATAGTGAGACCATCTCTTTAAAAACAAAAGTATTGGGGGCGGGGATTTAGCTCAGTGGTTCTGGCACCTGCCTCGAAAGCTGAGGACCCAAGGTTCAATCCCTGGTACCAAAATAAATAAATAAATAAATAAATAATAATTAAAAAAATAAAAACAAAAGTATAAGGAAGTACTAAGGAAAGTCCCACTGCCAAAACTAATCCAAATTTAAAAATAGTAAAATAAATTAAACTTTTATGTTTTCAGATCAGTGAAGGATGAGAATGATCAGCCAAGGGGAGGTGGCGCACATCTGTAAACCTCACACTCTGCCAGGGGGCGGCAGGGGGACAGCAACTCAACTTAGCAAGAACTCGGTCTCAAGAAATAAAAGTTAAGGGGCGGGAATTTAGCTCAGTGGTTTCGCTGCCTGCTGTGCAAGCACAAGGATCCGAGTTCAATGCCCAGTACCAAAAAAAAAAATCCTCATGAGTGCACAAAAGCATTTCATCATGCTGTAGTGAAGGAACAACTCCCGTACTAAGACTTCAGTGAAAGAAAAAAATACAATACATTGACAGAATTGCTCTTTATCCTTACCAACTTGGAGTCGTGACTGCTAGAAGCATAAAGGGAACCCAACTAAACCACCACATGGCATGCATGGTATGTGAAGTTACATGTATGTGCATGTGTATGCACAGTGCACATATATGTGTGTATATAAAAACACACAGTCCATATGAAGCTGCACAAGAATAATTTTCCCCTAGAACTATAAGATGATAGCTTCATGTTTACAATTATTAAGCTTGTTTTCTCAGGGCAAACATTTCAGCCATATAAACGAACATAGGTGCCAGGCATGGTGGTGCACACCTGTAATCCCACCAATGTGGAGGCTGAGGCAGGAGGAACACTGTGAATTTGAGGCCAGCCTTGGCTACACAGCAAGTTCAAGGCCAGCCTGGACTACATAGCAAGACCCTGTCTCAAAAACCAAGCTAAACCAAACCAAACCAAAAAGAACACTGGCACATTCTGATAGTCAGCAACCATGACTTTGAATTGTGGCCTTTTTTTTTTGGTACTGGGGATTGAACTCGGGTCCTTGCGCTTGCGCAACAGGCGGCGAAACCACTGAGCTAAATCCCCGGCCCTGTGGCCTTTTATGTATCACCTATAAATGGAGTAATGACCAGACTTTCCAGTTCCAACTGATTAAACAAAAAAGGGACATAACAAGCAGAAGGCCTAGCACAAACAAGAACTCATCAAAAAATATTTTTTTCTGCTACGAGGGGCTCTCATTACAAGACATCTATAATTTTCAAGGTAAGAGAGAAAAGCTAAAGGCCTAGTGTTCTAGGCCCCTGAATAGTTTAAGAAATTATCTAAGTAAAACTTAGGGGGTCACAGGGTAAACACCAAAAAAGCAGATGGTCTGAAGAAGCCAAAATGCTAAATATAGATACTACTTGAAATAACTTAAAAGGTGTATGTTGTTTGTTGTCTTCAGTGCTGATTTACTTACGTATCTTCTTTTTACCACTGAGCTACGTCCCAGCCCCTTTTACTTTTTCAGGCAAGATCTCACCAAGTTGCTCAGGTGGGTCTTGAACTTAGAATTCTCTTACCTCCAGCCTCACAAAGTGTTTGAGGAGGAAGGTATGTGCTACCATGCCTAGCTATGTAGACAGATTTTCTTAAGCAGATAAGAGTCAAAAACCATGGAGGCACCACCTGTCAGTGCAGCACTCGGAAGGCTGAGGCAGGAGAATCCACATAGGTTTGAGACCAGCCTGGGCTACACAGTGAGTTCAAGCCAGCCTGAACTACACAGTGAGACCCTTTCTCAAAAAACCAACCCGTCCCCCCCCCCCCCAAAAAAACTAGAGACATCTGTGGGTGGGTGTGGTGTCCCCATGGATGCTATGGAAAAGCTACTTACTGGTCTTGAAACTCTTACAATAACATCAATACTACTAGTGAAAGGCATTATTAATAAAGAAGCCTTGTGGGAAGGGATGCTTACTAAGCAAGTCTGCAAGTTCAGAGTCACCAGCTCAGGACAGTGTGCACCTATGTACTTGAGAGCTTCATCTTCTAGCTACAAAGATTAAAAAAACAGGTGGTTACTGGCATTATTTCAAAGGAGCAAGCCTTAAGAGAGTACACATTTTTCCTTTTTTTTTTTTCTGGTACTAGGAGGGATTGTCAGGACCTTGCACTTGCCAGGCAGGTGCAGCATCACTGAGCTAAATCCCTGGCCCTAAGAGAGTACACATTCACTATCACATTCTCAACCAGCTTCAAAGAACAATGAGCCACAAATAATAAATTATGATCACACAACAGAATAATTATTATTAGCAGGGTTATCAGTATTTTGTTTACATTCATTTTTTTAAAGAATCAGTTCTTTTTTTTTGGTACTGGGGATAGAACTCAGGTCCTTGCACTTGCGAGGCAGGCAGCAGAACCACTGAGCTAAATCCTTGGCCCTAATAATCAGTTCTTACCATATCAAATTCACATTACAAATCAAGGAAAAGATAAAATAATACTGCTGAGTTTATGGATTTTATTTCTGATGAATATACCTCACAGTATTGTGGAAGAACTACTTTTTTTGTTTTGTTTTGAGACAGGGTCTCGCTTTGCAGTTCAGGCTGGCCCTGAACTCACTATGCAGCCCAGGCTGGCCTCGAACTCAAGGCGATCCTCCTGCCTCTGCCTTCCGAGTGCTGAGCTCACAGGTATGTGCCACCAAACCCAGCTGTAGAGAGGCTATGAAGTAAAATAATTTTCACACTCCTATACCCCTTCCTTTATAAAAGTGGTTTTTTTTCCCTCTCTCAGTACTGGGGATACCTATAAACTTTTAAAAAACTTGGGAGGAGACAGGAATGGAACCCACAGCGTTTATCTGCTGCTGGAAGATCCTGTCATGCTTAAGCTGCCGAGAACATATGGTAACTGATCATAATGGTGCATTCCAATCAGTATTTCTCAGGATCACATAACCAGAAGCTCAAGATATTTTTTTGTTTTGTTTCGTTTGTGTGACACAGAATATCACTGAATAGTCCAGGCTGGCCTCAAAATTACGGTGATCCCCCTGCTTCAGCCTCCTGAGTGCTGGGATTACAGGGGTGCGCCATCACTCCAGGCAGATTTTCTTTTCAGTACAGACTAAACCCTGCATGAAACCCTTTTTGCCTATGGTGTTTCCTCAGTATAAGCTCATCTCCCTACTTCCCTGTCCCCAACTTATTTTTGGTCAGATGTTAATTTTTCTCCAACTATCATTTCAAGGAAAATGCCTGAACTTTGGTAAGCATGTGACTATAGTCAGTAGTATGCAGAACTCATATTTCCCTCAAAACAAACATCTTGGCAATGCTGACACAGTTTACATTTCCTTGGACCTTCATATGCTCTACATGGAATATTACCTGTGTGCAGCCTTTTAAGAATAAGGCCTTCAGTCCCCCGCAGCCTCTCACTAGTGCTTGAATGCCATCCTTGGTTACTTGGTCACACCAGGAAATGTTCAGCTGCTCCAGCAGTGGACACCCCTCGCTTAGAATAGAACATACAATACAAGCAGATCACTACCTCTAACCCAAAGGCACCTGCAGGGTACTCTCATACTCAGCCCAGGCAAAATGTACAAAGCACAAGCATGTTTCTCTGATAAAGACAGAAACCAAGAACTAAGGGACTCATTCCATTTTACAATGCTCTTACGATTTTACAGCATTCTTACAATTAAGAGTTCAGGTTTAAACCCAGATTCCCTATCAAATAATTCTATTAGTATCAAATTAGTAGTAGTAATGAAGATTTTAAAAACTTTATTTATTTAGTTACTTTTGGACACTGGGGTTCAAACTCAGGACCTTGCACTTGCGAGGCAGGGGTGTCGCCACTGAGCTAAATCCCCAGCCCTTTAAAAACTTTATTTAAAAAATTAAATTTATTTATTTACTTATGGTACTGGAGTTAAATTCAGTGCCTGAGGGCCAGGGATTTAGCTCAGTGGTTCTGCCGCCTGCCTCAAAAGCGTTCGATCCCTGGTAAAAAAAAACAAACCCAAAATCAAAATTCAGGACTTGAAAGTATGTGTACATGTCTGTATTATTTACATGTGGGGCCTGTGTTCCCCCATGAAAGAAATTAATTTTATTCTCATTAACCCAAGAGTAATAACATCATAGCAATTGGTTTAAAGAGGCCATAGAAACGTCTGCCCTATATTCTATACCACTTCAGTGAACTTGCTGATACAGTCAGAATATTGTCTGCCAATGCCGTTCTGAAGCAATGGAGCTATTAATAATGAAACGCTTAAGGTTTTTACATTTTATACATTCATTAATTACATTTTCATGCTGAAGTAACAGAGTCAGAGCTGATTTCCCAGTTCTTCGATTGGAACTTCTTGATTAAGTCTAATCTATTTGCAACTCTGCACTGTCTCAGCATTCCATCGAAAACTTCTGGGCACACTCCAAACACTGTCTGATCACATCAAAGCAAGACCCATGAGACTGCTGCTACTGCTCCAGCTCAGTGTCCGAGGCGCTTGGTGAGTGATGTTAGGTGTGGACGGCTCACATTACCTCCTCCACTAAAGCCCCAGAGATGGCCTGACCTGTGTGCGGCCAGCAGCAGGTGAGCTGGCTCTCATCTGAGGGCACGGGAGCTGAGGGGTGTGTGGCTTTAGCCTCCATGCAGCATCAGCAGTGCAGAGATGCCTGGTGTCTGGAAATACAAGCGCTCACCCTGCTTTGAGACAGGGTCTTACTAAACTGCCCAACCTGGGCTCCAATTTGCAGTTCTCCTGCCTCAGTCTCCCAGAGCGCTAGGGTTACAGGTATGTACCACCATGCCCAAATCATCTCTGCCTGAACAATATTACCTTCATCTTCAGTCACTTCTACCCTTATCAATTTAGTTTTACAGCTGGAATACTGATGAACACCAAATGTTTTATATTCTCAAGGTTGTACCAACACTACTTGGGGACTTGACAGCTTTGAAGAAATCTTCTTCTATCTACTCTCAGATAAATGAGATAATTTATGTAAAAATATTTTATAAATAATAAAGGTTATCATACTTCTCCTACATGGCAAACAGTCCTTAGATTTGTATGTGCTCAGTATTCACAAGGAGGGTTTAAAAGGAGTCACATTTAAAACAAATAAGGAAATAAATACAGGAGCCACATTTTTATATATTCTATTTAAATCTACTTTTAATTTTGTTTTTTGAGACAGGGTCTCACTGTATAGTGAGTTCACTGGCCTGGAACTTGAAGTGATCCTCCTGCCACAGCCTCCCAAGTGCTGAGATTACAAGCATGCAGCACCACTCTTGGTTAATTTTTTTAATAGTTCAATTCTTTTTTTGTTTTGTTTTTTTGGTACCAGGGATCAAACTCAGGACCTTGTGCTTGCAAGGGAGGTGCCGGAAGCACTGAGCTAAATCCCCGGCCCAGTTCTTTTCTTTTTAAACAGCTTAATTCTTTATATGCATAAGTATAACCAAAAGTAAGTTTCCCAAAAAAGGGGGGCATTCGATTCCCCTTTTAAGATATACCTTCTGGATCTGTAAAGGACTTTAACCACTTAACAGTTTACTCATGTGTCACCCGGGCAGTGTGTTTGTTTACATACTATCCTGAATGTCATTTCAACCAGTTGACTCTTGTATGGAATAAATTTGATAAAATTGTTTTTTTATCTCCTGTTATATTACTTTATACAAATTAACAAAAAATATGCAATTTTGGTTATCCTGTATTTAAATAAATGGATTGGTAAATGGTTAAAAAATACACAAACTCCATTCATGTACAAATTGTACTGCTGTTCAGAAATTCCAATTATCACGAGTCATTTGAGTATTTCCTCTAATTGTAACTTGCACAGTGGTAAAACTAAAGATCTATCCAAAACTACAGTATATATCCATAAAACAAGGTTGATGTCAATCCCAATCTTATATTGGTTTATGAAAGTATGTATTAATGGACATGCTTATTATAAGGAATTTACCTCAGTGCTTTGAGAGACATGTTTGTTATCGATGTACAGGAAGCCAAGTCAAGGTGCCTGAGTTTGGAACAAAACTTGCTAAGGCTAGTACATGTACTGAAAATGGAGAAAGGAAAAATAATGAATAAACAAAATAAGAACACATTCTTACTGTATCACATACCTTTCTCAGTATATGTGTGCACATTAGAGACAATAAATTTTCATACCCTCTCAAAAGCAGCTCTAAGCCCTGGACCTTTCACACTGAAGAAGGGACTGATACCATTCACAAAGGAAAAAGAAAGGCTGGTTGTGAAGGAGGAAGTTCATGATTCACACTGGCAAACGTTAATAGCTATTAACAGCACACCACTTAAGTGAGCACTCAGGGATCTACATGTACTCTGCAAATCCAGGACACCAGAAAGTTAACAAGCTTCTGCTAGCATGAGCTCAAACATGAGGACCAAAAGTCCTGCCTCTGTTGTTTTACTTAAATCTCTATTGAAGATAATCAACTGCACTGCACTAATGAATCAGATTTCTTCTTTTGTGATACTGGGGATTGAATTCAGTGAGTGCTGAAGTAGATGCCCAGCCCTTTGTGAGAAAGGTCTCCTTCACTAAGTTGCCTAGGCTGGGCTTGAGTTTACAATCCTCTTGTTACAGCATCCTTTGTAGCTGGATTACAAGGATGCACTAGTACGCTTGGAAAAAGAATTAGATTTTTTCTGAGGCATATGAAAGATGAGTTGGTATTGTGCTGAACAATAAGTAGCTGATACTACTACCCACTGTACTTTAAGAACTTTTTTGGGGGCTGGGGATTTAGCTCAGTGGTGCCGCTGCCGGCCTCACAAGCGAAAGGTCCCAAGTTTAATCCCCAGTACCAAAAAAAAAAGTTAAACACACATTCTTTTTTCGATGATGTATCTCCCCCCTAGGTCTTTGGGTGGACCAATGCTTTTGTATCTTTTGGACAGACAACAGGTCCTACAGTAAGCCTAGCTTTGTAAGAGACTGCCAAACAGGCTGGCCTCAAACCCACCATCCTCCTGCCTCAGCCTCCTTAGTACTGGGATTACAGGTATGTATCACCATGTCCAGCTTTCTCTATATTCTTTCCTTTCTTTCCTTCTTTCTTTCTTGGGACCTTGCGCTTTCGAGGTAGGTGGTGGAACCACTGAGCTAAATCCCCAGCCCTCTCTATATACTTAAAAAAATGTTTTTTCCCCAATACTGAGGCACTGTATCCCAATCCCTTCTTAAATTTTTTCTAGATTTTGAGACAGGATCTCACTAAGTCAACAAGTTGTCCAAACTGAGCTCAAACTTGCCATCCTCCTTTCTCAGCTTCTCAGACTGCTAGGATTACAGGCATGAGCCACCATCCTTGATCTTCCAATATTGTTCTTCATTTTAAAAAATTGTTTTGACTACTGCATTCTCTCATACATTTTAGGACCAACCTGTCAGTTTCTTAAAAAAAAACAAAAACAGATTCTGCCAGGAATTGTACTGAATCTATAAATTAATTTGGAGAGATCTGCTGCCACCTCAACAATGTTACATATTCCAAAGGGTGAACACAGATTGTCATTCCATTTTTTTTTTTTTTGAGAGGGTCTATGTAGTCCAGACTGGCCTTGAACTCACTATATAGCTCAGGCTGGCCTCGAACTCGAGGCAATTCTCCTGCCTCAGCCTCCCCAGTGCTAGGATTCTGTTTCTCCATTTTATATCCCCTTTAATTTCTCCAGTAATGTTTGGTGATTTTCAGTGCACCAATCTTGTACTTCTTTTGTTAAACTTATTTGTAAATATTTGATTTTTACTGTGCATGAAACTATTTTCTTAGTTTCAATTTTGGACTGCTCGTCACTAATGTATAGTAACAGAATTACTTTTCTACACTTTATAT